ATTCGACACGTATATCTATTATACATACATTTATACATTTATTACATTTATACATATATACATATTTATTACATATACATTTATTATATTTATGCATATGTACATATTTATTACGTTTATATATATACATGTATTAAACTATTTAAAACATGTTAAAAACGTAGTACAATGCGGTATCACTTTCGAAGCACGACAAACGCAGAATAATGGACTAAATACTAACACCTTTCCGCGACGGCGGTGATGAATATGCCATGACTTCTCGCCGCGACTCCTCGTCCCGGCGGTCCCTGAGAATTCGCGAAAGAGGAGAGAATGCCACGACGGTGTTCACGACAACACAATCGGTACTTTACACGAATTCGCGTGTAAAGCATTTTGCAGGATCGCGGAACGGGACAGCTGCGCCGCTGGTCTAGCTGTAGCTCCGTACCGCTTGACGTAACGACTTGCTCCCACATATAGCGAGCATTTCTTCATCGCGAACGAGACTAACCGCTCGATCAGCTGCCGAGAAGAGCGTTCTGCTCGTGATAGAGCAGGCTTCATCTTGTGTATTGTCACGCATATATACATATTTATTACATTTATAAATATATACATGTTTTAAACTATTTAAACATGTTAAAAACGTGTTTTTTATCAACCCTGATTACAACGGATGGCTTTCACTTTATTTACCCTTTCATATCACATTCATATAAGATTTATTCTTTTTAATTATTATAATATTATTAATAAATCATTCTATCGAGAGTCGTCAATGCAATCATTCAACAAAACTACAATCATTCAATAATACTATTTAATATCGGGTAACACTTCCCTGATTCTCAATTACTGCATTTAACCTTTGGGGCATAGACTCAACTAAATTTTGAAATATTGCGGGCCTTGCGCGGAGATCCTCCCATTGATTTTAAAGACATGTTGCGCAAGTGCCTCGCGTGTTCGCTGAACTTGAGGGTTCCACTCTTGTACTATAATGCCCCAAAGGTTCTCGATTACATTCAAATCTGGAGACTTAGCTGGCCAGTCCAACGTCCTAATGTTGGGTTGTGCGGCCAGCCAATCTTGGACAACTCTCGCTCAATGCACTTCTGAGTTGTCTGGAATGAAATTAACATATGGTATGACAGGAAATGTCTCCGCAATGTATGGTAGCATCACATTGGATAATATTTGAATGTATTCCTCACTGTTCATATGCGGTGTGGTACGCACCAATGGTCCAGAGCCATGCGAGGTCATACATCCCCAAAATCCTAATGTGATACGACCAGATTTTGTACAGAAACGAACATTTCTCTCGGCATACCTTGTTCCTCTTATTCTCCACAACGTCACTCTTCTATTCTCATCCGTACTAAAAACTTTTTCATCCGAAAAAATTGTTACCATCCACTCGTCATTCCATGCAAAATGTTGTAAAGCGAAAGCCATTCGCTGTTCTTTATGATGCGCATTTATTAATTCTTTTTGAGCGAGAATGTGGTGAGAATATCCATTTTCTTTAAGTCTACGCCGTATAGTGCGCACAGAACATTGTAACCCAATGTCAGCTTTCATTTGTAAGGTATTAGAACATTCATAATTAGGCAAGTAAAAAGTACAGTGAAAATACACATCAAAGTGTAAGTTCGGCACAAGTAGGAAAAAAATGACAGAAACATAAATAATCACAGAAACAGATAATTATATTCAACAGGACAATGTTTATAAAATTATGTGATGAAATCTAGCAAAAAAATTGTAACCTTACAATTATATAGTTATATTTGCAAAAACAGATGCAGAAACACTCTGTTGTTTTCTAAAATATTGATAACTGTATGCGCAATTTATTTCGACATAGTATTTCGATTTCTTGCTTTCTGTACGAGCGTCCTTCGTTGGACCACCGAGACCTTAGTAATGTTTGCAATAACCAATATATGTAAGAACGTCTTTTTCAAGGGACGTAAATAAACAATATTTAATGAATAAAACGACGTGAATAAACAATATTTACTTCTATTGTTGATTGAAAGCCGTTTTGTCTGATTGAATTTAAAATTCTATCATCTTCCTCTCTTGTTGTGCATCGTTGTGCGCCAAGATATGGCCCTGGATTTACGTGACCTTCCATTTCTATTTTTTCTCAAAATTCTATACGCTGTCGTTTTCTACAATAAAATACATCTCATTAAAGTAAAGAAAATTTTTCTGGTTAACAGAATCCTGATTGTCCTGTAAATTAAGTTTATATGTGAAATAACAAAGAAATATTTATTTGAAATACAAAAATTGTTTTTATGTGGAAACGTCATTTTTCTTTACAATTTTTTGTTCTCACATAGTTGAATAAATAACTAGCTAAAATGAAAAATTAACTCATTTAAAACCAACTAAGTTAAATTAAACGTTATTAAATTTTTAACATTTTATTATTTATTTATATAATAACATTAAATATTGTTTATTCTTAACTTTTTAATTAGTTACTATTATACCTAACCATGCTTATTAATGTAATATGTCTTACGTGGATATTGCATAGCCTGGATATTTCAATCCCGCTAAATCCCGCATTAAAGTAAGCAATTATTTCGCCTCTTTTTTATAGAGGTTAAACTTATTTATAAAGTAAACTGCTGTGATAACTAAGTCTGATGATAACGAATTGTAAGTTATAAGTCTAAGTCTAAAGTGATAAGTGATAAGTGATAATAATTAATAATTAACAATAACAATGAAACTAAAATCCAGTGTTATTTGGAACTTTTATGATGAAATGGAGATGACAGAGCCAAGTGTAAAATATGTGGTAACATTTATTCTCGCACAGAACGGTGTACTTCAGGTTTAATAACACATTTAAAGTTAAAACATAATGATGAGTATTTGAAATTCATAGATTTACGAGATAAATTAAAAGAATCTGTCATCGCATCAACTTATAAATCGAGTTTGACACCATTTCGAGCTATAAAAAAAACAAATAAAACAAGAATCTTTACAGAAAAAAGATTATTGGGATTCATCTTATACAAAGGCAATTGAATTTGATAAATTAATCGTAGAAATAATTGCTCTACAAGATTTGCCTTTTAAATAATATAATATATTATAGGACCGTACATGCGATAATACAAACTATAGAAATCAAAGCCTTAAACGGTCTAGCTGGATCTTAATGCTTGTATGATTCTTATGTGAATTTATTAGGTGTTAAACTTAATTCTTGCCGTTTTTCGTCTGTAAAATTGATTTGTTTCGAAGGGAAGATGAATGAATACCTTAATCGAAGTAATTTCCTCTATTTTCTACTTTATTACTAATTAATAATACTTTATTAATAATACTTTGATTAAGGTATTTCCCTTCGAAACAAATTAATTTTGGAGACGAAAAACGGCAGGAATTAAGTTTAACACCTAATATATACAACATATGTACTACGTTGTTCCTTCATATGCCAATTATTGCGAAGAATGTTACTAAGGCCTCGGTAGTCTAAAGGCTTAGGACGCTCGCACGGTATGCAAGAGATCCGGGTTCGATTCCCGGCCGAGATAATATTTTCCACAATAAGAATTAATTATTTACAGATTTTAATATGTTATTCATCATTATTAAGATCGTTTCGAAGATGCGAATAAGCATAAAAAATTTGTTAAATTTGTCAATTTAATTCGTGATATTACTGCGGTAGTTTAGTAGAGTTAGCGTTTCAAGACCGAAAAATTTTTCGGCGCGCGTTTCTGTAGGACTACATACGTAGTATATAAATTCACATAAGAATCATACAAGCATTAAGATCCAGCTAGACCGTTTAAGGCTTTGATTTCTATAATTTGCCTTTTAAATTTGTTGAAGGCATTGAGTTTCGTCGATTCTTGCAAGCTGCATTACCCCGTTATAAATTGAGAGGACGTGAATATTTCACTTCATTTTAATGTGAAAATCTGTATGACCGGATGGCTAGTAAAGTAAAACAGATACTAGAAAATTTCAATAAACTCTCTTTCACAAGTGACATCTGGTCAGATCCTAGTGCTGGCGTTTCTCTTTTGAGTTTGAATGTCCACGGAATTACAGAAGATTTTTGTAAAGTAAACATTATATTAAAATGTGAACCAATGGAAGGCAGCCATACGGGTATTGTGATATCAGAAAAATTTAGAATAATATTAAATGAATGGAACCTAATTGAGAAAGTTCATTGTATAGTACATGATCAAGGCTCAAACATGATTCGAGCTATGAATGTTTTAAATGTTACTCACATTGATTGCACCGTACATCAAATTCAGCTCTGTGTCCGAGCAGGTATAGAATCTGAAGATTATCTTTTGAAAATTATTGAAAAAAATAAAATTGCTACACACTTCAACCATTCCATATTAGCTCAAGATAAATTACGTAAAATACAAACACAGCGACTTAATCAATCATCTCTTGCTGTTATACAAGACTGCCCAACTAGGTAATTTTTAATTATATAATTAATATAGATAGAAATTAGAAATAATAATTAAGTTTTTATTTTTAATTAATTAATTATATCTTAATTCTACTTCGTCTTGTTTCTAGATGGAACAGCACATATTATATGATGGAACGGCTATTAAAAATTAAAGATTCTATGTGATATTATATTTGAGCACGTATAATAAAATAACACAATATTTGACTACTACTAACGAATGGCGAGATATGGAAAAATGCGTAGCTATACTGAAACCATTTGAAGAGATCACTCGAGAATTGAGCAGTACTAATAGTTTAATATCGTCAGTTATACCTCTCCTTCATGTTCTTAAATCAACATTACAAGAAGAAGAATGTAAGACAGACTCTTCAGCAATATTCAAGAGAATTATACACAAATTAATCAAAGAACTAAATTCAAGATTTGGGGAACTGTATAATGATAATGTATTTGCAATTGCTACCTATTTAGATCCTCGGTACAAATTAAAATTTTTCAGTGAAATTAAAAGAGAGCAAGTACAATCGGATCTTCTTAGCCTCATAAATTCTGAATCCATATCCGATAGCTCACCTAAGGCTAAAAAATTAAGAATGGAATCTAATGATGACCGTGCAATAACTTCACACGGAATGAAAAATTCGTCGCACTTACAATCTTCATTAGCAAATATTCTAAATTCAAATTCCAGCAGTGATGATGATGTTCCATTGAATCGAGGCTCAACTTCTAACACCTATAATCGACTTTTTAGACTGAAGTCATTGTTAACAAAGTACAATAAAGATAAAAAAACTTCAACTTACAGAAGATCTTCTATTGTGGTGGAAATTAAATACTAATAGATATAAAGATTTAATCCCATTTGTTCGCCAATTCCTAGCAACTCCTCCTGGGAGTGTACTAAGCGAGCAGCTGTTCAGTGGTGCTAGTTTGATTTATGATCCACTGAGAAATAAATTAAAAAGTGAGAAAGCGGAAAATTGCTCTTTATAAAATATAATTTGCCACTATTAAATTTTGAGTATTAATTTCATATAATTAGAAAATCTATTTAAAAAAAGAAGTAATAAGCTAATAAGTAATACCTACTTATTCTTATTAAGTATATAATATAAAAGTATAATTAATTCTTAGAAGAATTTTATTTTATTAACTAAGAATTTTATTTTATGTTGACTTAATAAAAAGTATATTGAGTTATTTTATTTAAAGTTATGAGTCAATTTATTTTATGTATTTACGAGTTGCAATACAAGATTCAAGAATAAGAATATATTTTATTGTATTTTTATTTTATATAATTATAATTAATGTATTTTGTATTTTATTTGATTATTTAATTTAAAATAAATAAGTCGTTCATATACAAATACTAATTTACACATTTGCATTCATCTCTCTCAATCCATCATTCAATAATTTGAATAGGAATTAGCAATATTTTTTAAACATTATATATTATTTTTCGAGACTGTCTGTAATTGTGGCTGATTTATATATATATATATATATACACTACTC